GGCTTTGGGGAGTGAATGCCGATGGTTCGTCCTGTGGTTTTGGGGGGCTGTCTCAATCTAGTGACACTGTGGGTCGGTCACCATGACCAAAGAATAGATCTTTCGTAGTATCTGTCGTTTCTTTATGATGTTTCCTTTGATGCTGGGATTCCTTAGACGGACAACTGCTCCACTATAGATCACAGACCACCAACTCGGCCGAATTTAGCCATTGAACGCCATGAAATTATGGGAGGCCATCGCTGTTAGGTTGGAGGCCATTGCTACCAGTTTGGAGGCCGTTGCTATTGTTTTGAAATACGTTCAAAATCGGTTCAATTAAATTATGGACTACTAACTAGAACTACAAGAACGCTACTAGGAGCAAGGGCATCATCGCTACGAATGGGGCTCTTGGCCTTACTAGGAGCAAGGACGCTACTACGAACCTCTGGCATCGCTACGAACGGAGCATTCTTACTACTAGGATGGTCCTGGAAATGTCTCTTCCCTGCCGCCCTACAGGCTGTGAAGGAGAACGGCGTTCAGGTGAAGCACACAGAGGCCGGGTTCGCTTGGAATGCGTGACTCACGATGGGACCAGTGAGTCTCCAACCTACGAGCGATGGCCTCGAACCTGCTAGCGATGGGGCTGCAGCTCAGAGGTTGGGTGTTGGTTCTGTTCCTTTTGTTGCGCTTTGCTTTTGGATGTTTTTGGTAAGTTTTGTGAGAGGACACGCGACATTCAGCTTTCAATTTTTTGCTGGGATAGGTACAACATAATGAATGATAACTCTTGGCCGCATAGCATGATCGAAACATGAACTACCATTCAAACTCAACTATGAAGGAACAAACTGAAACTCTTATGCATGTTGCTTGGAAGATGCATTTGCACCCGATCCACTTGTTTTCATTCCCCATCTTTTGTCCACTTTGTGTCAAAGGAATCCCATCCCAACCGAGCGGCTGAACTTCGCGCCAGACGCCTCGCATTGCCGTGAACTACATCGCAGTTCAGGCGGACCAAACCCACAAGGTAGCACGAAGATTGGAAGTGATGTGTTTTGGAGGGTAAGAGCGGTGGACTTTTACATTGGAGTATAGTTCATGGATGGTTTATAATGAGTATATTTGAGTATAATTTGTATACTCTGTAGCTCATTGGTGATGTGTTGTTTCTTTTTTTCTACTTTGCTGAGAAGCTGGGGAACCAATTAATCCGTCTCAGCTGAGCATACTCAGTCTTTGTTGGAGTTCTTTCATGACTTTTCTTTTTTTCCCTTCAGCCTCGCATGTGGTGACCGACGTTTTTGATGACCAGTTCTTCTACCATTTGTTTATCCAGGTTCATTTCGACCTGATTTACATGTTGCTTTCCCAATGAAGCCAAGATAAGCCAACCAATGGAACTCTGATTCACTGTTGGCGAATTTGCACTAGATATTATCTAGGCCATCAACACAGAACATATCTACATATCTATATACATATGCAGTACTATCTACATGTATACACCATTTTTGTGTTCATGGCAACGAAGCATGTTGACCCCTCTTTAATGCATCAGTTGTAGTACGAAGAGCGCAAAACCAAAAAGAAGCTACCCCAAAAATGGCATCAAGGTAGCGCCTTGACGGAGTGCTTGGAAAAACACTTTGCGTGGTGATCCTATCAACGATTCAACGATTCAACCTGATCCTAGAGATTGAATTGATGTGATCCTTGGCGTTGTTCCGAGGATGAGAATGCCACCAATACGGAGGCGCGGCGAAGGGAAAGGGAGGAAGGAGAGAGAAGGACTTCAGCGGTGCTTTTCTTTCAGAAGTCCTGTGTTCACTGGTGAAGCAAACCAGGAATGTTTGGGTGTTCCGGCGCCTGCATCCTATGATTGGGTGTGACGTTGTGATATATGTCAGTGTTTGAAAGAAAGCTCCACCAAAAACACAACGCTCTCAGCGCGTCTTTCTTCCCATTTGACCCGTGCGACGTTGAAATTTTTTCGATCATGCTTTGTGTCAAAGACGAGCGTATGAGGGATGCTGCCTACTACTTAGGAGGAACCCTAAAGATAGTCGACCTCAAAAAAAACCCAACCTAAGGCAGTCCAGATATCTTGTCAGAACCAATTGAGGAACGTCATGCTTGGGAGATCCTATTTTGGGCAGCGCAGCAGGGCACGTCTGAACTCCGCGTCGAACCGCTGAGCTGCCGTCAGTGGCGACGTGCAGCTTGGCAAAGCCTCAAAAAGCTGCCGCGAACACCGTGTGAATGGGAAAAAATGACCAGTGGTATTAGACTCGTGATTCATCCACTTCCCTGATTCCCCTGATTCGGATTGGTAAAACCTCTTGTGACGGGGCTGATAATAGGCTACAGCGAGTCCACAAGACTGATTTCACACGCTGATTTCACATGCGCAGTTGGTCAGGTGGACGAATTGGCACAGAGTGACACGATGAGTTTGCTAATGGGTGGCACCCTCAGGACGACCGGATGACTAAAAGCCCTATTCTCGGAGAGCGGGGGACTCATTGGGATGGCCTCCAACCTAGTAGCTTCTTGCTAGTGGCTACTAGCGTCTTGTTCCTAGTAGCGATGGCCTCTAACCTAATAGCGAAGAGCTTTGACATGTCTCCCAGGTGTCGTGGGCGCATTGGCTGCAGTCTTCCTGTGTGCCTTCATCGATGCTCGACGTAAACCGAGGGGCGAGGGTTTTTGGGCGGACAGTTTGCATCGAGGCCCGGACGCTACGAACGGGGCTCCTGGCCTGACTACTAGGAGCAAGGACGCTAGTAGCTTCTTGTTCCTAGTATTGCCAGGAGCGCCCCTAGTAGCGTGATTGCTACTGCTAGTAGCGATGCCCTTTGGCTCCGTTCGTAGCGAAGAAAGTCCGTTTGCCGAGTTTCAGGACCTTTTTTCATACATCAAACGGAGCTTTGGGGTAGTGTCCTTGTTCCTAGTAGCGATGCCAGGAGCCCTTGGGAGCTTTGGGGTTTGATGTTTTCAATCATTTGGGCAACTCGCTGTGCTGGTCTTCGGTTGTATTGATCTCCAGGGCTCTTGGTGGTCCATGAATCTTCCGAAGGAGTCGAAAGAACAACGGCCCAACTGAGTCTGTGTCTGCCGAAGAGAACGGCTTTTGTCCGTTCGTTTTTCGGTGCTGCTGTGCCTCCAAAAGGGTTACAAGGTGGAAGACATGGAGTTCTTGTCCTTTGTAGCGAGCATGCCGCAGCCCTCAAAAAGTCTTGGTCAGTGGTTTAGGCGATGTTCAGGGATCAGATTGAAATCCTTCTCTCCAACGATGACTCTGGGTGCCTTTGTATGTGTGTGTCAGTGTGTGTGTGTGCAATTTCTTGTTGCGCTCTTCCACACTGATGAAAGTGGTCAACATCTTGGGGCTGTTGTGTGTGTGTGTTGCAGTGGGGTAGTGACAAACTTCAACATTAAGGCATTAGAAGTTACGAACACAGAGTGATTGGTTATTACACAGGTTGCACCAGAAGCACCCAGTCTTGTACGAAATGACATGAGCGGTGACCAGCTCGACGGCCAGGCCGGCCTTTGTTGCGCCTGGAAGGTGCGCTGCGGTGCTGAGAGTCTGCAGAGTCCGACAGAAGTTGAGTCGAAGGGTAGACGGTTTAAACAAAAAATGCAATAAAAGAAGCAAGAAAGAAAGGAAGAAAGGAAGAAAGAAAGAGCTGTTTAATGAGTTTAATGGTCTATACAGAAAGAAAAAGGACTGCAAAACAATGAAAGAAAGAGGAAAGGAACATCCGAAAGGTGAAAATTGGGTCGAAGGTCAATGGTTTGATGGAATCGCGTTTGGTTCATTCCATCCTTCTGCGAGATCGTCCGTGGTCCACCGAGAGGACACGGACCGAAGATACCTCAAAGGTAGGCCACAACAGAAGCAAGGCGTAGTGAGGAAGTGGGAGGTTCAGTTGATGTTAAGATGAAGAGCTCTTACACGGGTTCAATTGAGAATACTAGTATCTTCAAGAACCTGTGGAGACGTCTGCAGTATGCCTATTCGGAAAAGAACACCGTGCACTCTTCTACTACGGCAGTACTAAGCACTGCCAATGGGTTACCATAGCCCGTTGGACCCCGTGGACCTTTTATGGTGGTGACCACTTGGTCCCGCCCCACAGGTGGTTGGCTGGCTTCGCCGCAAGCAGCACCAGGCGACCTTGTGGGTCGAGTTGGGCTCGACATCGGGGGTGAGCGACCTCGTGACCATCCCAGATCTGGTCGGAACCATTTGGTGGAGAAGAAGGACACCACTAGCTTCTGCAGGTGAGCATGGATTCGTTTGGGGCCACTCTCGACCTGAAACAGTGGATGGTTTGCCACCTGGAAAACCGATCGACCCGAAATCGGTGCTGAGTCTTGACACGTCTTTAACGGTTTGGGATCGGCAGATACTGGTTTGCTTCTCCACCAGTGCGGTGTTCAGGAGCTCTTCAGGGAAAGCGAGCCTCTTGGATGCCTCTGAAGAGGGAAAGCGAGTCACGCGGAGGCATGCAAGTCCGTCCAAGAGACATGGAATTCCACATCGACGGGGTTAAGACTCCATTTCTTCAAGTCGATGTGGCTGTGCCACGCTAGTAGGAACAAGTGCCTTACTGGTAGTAACAAGAAGCTATTAGGAACAAGTGCTGTTTGTCAGTCAGTATCAGGCAGAGGACGTGCATCTCCGACGAGCGCGGGGGGGAGGGGCAGGGGGTCGAGAGGACCGCCTTTGACAACGCCTGGTTTGCACTGGCGTTCATCCTTGCGGATGGAACAGTTCCCGGATCCTCGATCGATCCATGCGGCAGATGCCGCGCTGAATTATTAATGGGGTTGGAGGCCATTGCTAGCAGGGTAGCAGGGTGGAGGCCATCGCTAGTAGGGTGGAGGCCGTCGCTATTAAACCAAGGTCTCCCCATTGAGATCGAAGGGACCTTCGAGCCCACCGGCAATGGAACATGTGAAGGTTTGACCAGACGGGAGACGTTTTGCGTGACACCTTGGACACGGATGTGCCAAGGTTGAACCAGGTGGCGAGCCTTCCACAGGACTGCCTGTCTCCGCAATCTTCACGACGGACGGATGGAAGAGGGACACTGACGAAGCACGGAGACTGAAGATTTCAGCAATTGAACCGTTTTGAGGACACTCATTGATGATCATGGTGTGTGTAGGGTGTGTTCCATTACCTGTAGTCGGTCGTAAAGGATTATTACTCTTGAGAAAGTCCTTTGCTAACAGTCATCATTCACCGCTACTGGTAGTATACCCAAGGCATGTGCCATGTCTCGTGCAATCTCGTGTTGTTCGGCGGGTTGGGACCAAGGAGCCTTTAAGTGAATCCGGAAGTCCTTTGTTGGTGGGAAATCCGCAGAAGCTAAGTCAAAGTTCTTCCAATGTTTGCTGGGAGTCAAGTCGACTATAAAAAGAATGGTCTTTGGGTGACCTGAAAGGAACTTCCTGTACTTCAGTCGGTCAAAATATAGTCGAACTGGACTTCTAGGGTAGGAACAATGACGCTACTAAGGGCTCCTGGCATCGCTACTAGGGGCTCCTGGCCGTACTACTAGTAGTTACTAGTAACAGGGACGCTACTAGGAACAAGTAGATTCTGGTCATTTCGGATTTGGCCACGTCCAGGACCATAACTTGCCGCCGGAGATCTTCACATGGGACCGACGTCGTGATGAGATGCGTTCTACGACTTGTTTGGCCGTTCGTAGCGTCCCTTTGCTCCTAGCTTTGTTCCAGTAAATTCGGTCCAATTCAATTCGCTTCACAAGATGTGTTTCAACTCAGTTCTCAACTTCCACCCTTTATCATTTCTTTGCCATGGCCTTTGGGGCTTTGGGTATTTCAGATTTAGCTCGATAGGGAGCCAATTAGGGGGAACTCGGAATGACTTCTCATGCCTTCTTCTAGGAGATCAAGAGGACTTCACCCTAAGCACCGGCCCAGCTTCGCTGTTCTCCCAGCTTCGCCCCTCCGTGCGCTTCGCGAGGACAACGAGGGCCCCTTGCCACCTGAGGCGCCGCGTGGAAAACACGGCGAACCTCACGACGCGCTTTTCGCTCGAACTGCGTGGCCCTTTGAGGTGCCTTCGAGCTACCCTAGTTGCCGAACTGCAGTTCAACAGATTCGCTGTTCCTTGAAGGGTCAATTCAATTCAGTGATTCTGCTGACACTGCTGGAGCACCAAGACCACATCGACCACACGTCATCGACCCTGTTCCTCACTGTTGATTGGTGGTGATGAGTCATGCGTTGCGATCGTTGCGAGAATTCACCCCGAAGCCTTCCAAATCGACTGCCTTCGAACTCTTCATGTCAATTGACATGGCTCGTTTCCACGGTTCGAATGCTTCGACTCAACGAAGGCATGCGTTGCTCCGTCGCATGGTGGTCCTTGGGAATCAATGGTGGTGCGGCGCCCACGTCGTCCAACCACCCGTCCAACCGCCGTGGCGCAGTCGTTCAGTTCTGCGTCCCTGGCATTCAGGAAACCACGCATGCGGGTTCTTCATGGTTTTGCCCGATGCTGATGCTTTGCTCATGGTCGGTAGACTCCACAAGCGTTCGCACATTTCACCACCTGGCAATCTTGGTATGACAAAGGAGCACTAAATGTAGGTCTTCAGAATAAACACCACGGTGCTTCTCTTTCCATTGGCAAGTCTGAAAAAAGCGGTGATTGAAGGCAATTGTATTGTGTTCATATCTCGTGTGTGTGTGTGTGTTTGTTCGCTACTAGGAACAAGTGCATCGCTACTAGTAACAAGTGCCTTACTACTAGTAACAAGAAGCTACGACCGGAACGGTTCTTTCCCCAGAATCACCAGAAAAAGCAACAGGTCTTCGATGACCGGCTGCGCCCGGCGTCGGTCAGGTCTTTGTACATCACCCACGAAGTCCCACACAGGACGCGCTTGAGAGCTCAGCTCTGGAAGTGGACTGTACGCGCCAACTCCAGTGTAGAAGAAGGAAAGAGCAATAATCTACTCCACTCCCTATAGGCCTAGGATTGGCAAGATATTGGTTATTGATTGTTGAAATGGCTGAGAGGGTATGGATCAAACGATATGGAACGTCTTCCATTTGGATTTTCCATTGAAGGAGAGAAACCAAAACGGACCAACAAGGACCGTTCACAAATGGATTTGCCACTTGCTCCTTCGTTCCTGGAGCTCGTTGGGATCCATCCAATCCCACCTACATCACTGTTGCCAGGAGCGCAAGAGGTATTCAAAGCCATTTTGCCAAACATATCCATCATGTCTCAAGATTCTCTTGGTAAAGGTTGTTCTACCTCAACTCAAAAAAGAACCACACACACAGACACAGACACGCACACACAACACACTTATGGAATTGCGTACTGATTTGATGCGGTTTGCCACACGCCAACCTGGGTATCCAAATCTTGACCAGATCAAGTGAAAATCAAAGAAGCCTGGAGGTCCTCAAACGGAAGTGGGGTCAAAAGCTCAAGCCGATCCCGAAACGACAAATGACGACGTAGCGTGCAGGTCTGCAGTATACAAGAAATCTTATATTAAGGCAGGTTTAGGGGAATATCATGCAAGCGCCATGGAAACAAACCACAGCGATGGAAGAGTGGAGTGTTGTCACAAGTGCAGGTACGTTTACACCCAGGTGCCCTGCTGCTTCAAAATTAAAGTCAAAGCGAAACAATCCGAAAGGATCCCTATGACTCCAAGGGGTACACACACACGAGAACACCACCAAGTGGCATTCCTGTTTTGGTTGCCGTGTCAGTCATCAGTGGAAGCCACATGTGTCAGCAACGACCCTTCCGACTCGGTGTCGCCACGCGTCCTTCACGATTGACCGTCGACCGCGGCACGGCGAGCCGACAATGATGCCCTTGTTCCTAGTAGCTTCTTGCTACCAGTAGTAAGGCCTAGGAACGCTTCCCGGCTCCTAGTGGCGATGCCCTGTGCTCCTAGTAGCGTCCTTGCTCCTAGTAGCTTCTTGCTACTAGCAGTGTTGTCCTCCAACCTTATAGCTATGGCCTCCACCTAGTAGCTTCTGGCTACTAACAGCGATGCCCTTCCTCCAAGGCCAGATCTCAAGGGCGAGACCTTCGAGGCGTTTCGCGCGAATTGCGTCCGAACGCGCTTGGCATGCGGCGGTCCGTCCAAACAAAGCGTCGACGGTTTTAGATGGGTTGCACCAACAAGAAAATTTGGTCCAAGAATGAAAAGAAGTCAGGATATGTCAGCCTTCCCGTCCGCCTTCGTCCAGGTCTACTTTATTGATTTTCTCGTTTTCCTTTTGTGTCTCGGTCTCTTGCTCCTCGAGTTGTATCCATTGAATCATTGGTCGCCTGTTGTGTCCAGTCTTCTGGTTCTTTGGTCCAGTCTTCTGGTTGTGGTTGTTTGATTTCCCCTTTGGCTATTTTTTGGGGGGTTGAGCGTTGATGTATTTCAGGGCGTTCTTTTCTGAGGTGGGTTCTTTGCAAATAGTTCGGTTGGGGGTAGGCGCTGCGCGTTTTCTCCCTCCGCCCCCTCCATGCGGCACCACAAAATCGGCAACTGACTTCTTCCAAAGCGCCTGCGCCTGCCACCAGAGAGAATTCTTTAAGGGTCAGCCCACTGCATGTTCCCCCACAAAGGACAACTAATGATTATATATTATATACACATGTTTTTTTCGACACCCTCTCTGCTGCATGTCATGTGCTGTGTATTTTTTTTGATTTGCTTCCGTGTTTCCTTCAAATCCTTTCGTTGCCATGTTGTTTCGAAACCAAAAACTAAAGTTAGCTTCAATTCCGAAAATCAGTGCCTTTTTTTGATACTTATGTTCTCTTTATCTCCCGAAGCATCATTTGATGTCGCTTCAATTGTACGGAACATCATGTTGTTTTCCCTGCATGCCCTCATTGCTTGATGTTGTCATTTCCTTCCAAGGCCTCTTGGTTTCCTTTCCTTTTGATACCCCTTCTACTGCCTTGTGTTTTCTGATTTTCACATATGCTTTTTGAGGTCCTGAAAAATAGTTGAAGTTTACCATTTCCTTGACAGCCGCTATAGCCGGCTTTTTTGGGTGGTTCATAGCAGTGCAAAGAGTAGAGGGTAGCCAAGGAGCCACAGGTTGCAGATGTCGGCTTCAGCAAGTTCAGCCTATGACCTGATTTCCCACGCGCTTACTTTTCTTAAAGTCACAGGGTAGGCGTCTTATACTGTGCTCATACTATTACTGTCTCCTCAAAACTTTGGACGTCTTCTGATGGGAGTTGATTCTCGGAACAAGCCAAAGAAGGGTCTCAAGACATGATTTTGAACCGGGGAGGTGCCTGGAAAATCGGGAAGCCTGTCATCCAGCCATGTTTCACAAACTCCACGCATGCAGGTGGATCCTGATGAAGATGAGATTGATGAGGCTGGAAGGGATGCTTTTGACCAAGATGAGTCTTTCACAGTACTCAGGGTCAAACATCCAGAAAGCTTGAAACATCCTGATACACTTGAGGACTACACCGAAAGGCGACATTGAACATGTTGAACTTGAACATGCCCCGCTACAAAACGGGTTTTGCTGTAGACTTATATATATTGGCTGTGGGTGTAGGACATGCAAAGAGTTCACATTCCAGACCCAGCTCTGCTGAAATTCACTTCTCACGCGTGTTTTGCACAAGAGAATTCCAACTGAACCAGTCTACCTGGTTCCCGAGATCCAGTCAACTGGTTCTTAGTAAGGCCAGGAGCCCTGTTCGTAGCGTCCGATCGCTCCGTTCGTAGCGATGCCAGGAGCTACTAATAGATCCGGCCAATCATTTCTCCCTGCCATCCCAGGGCGCCTCTCGCAGGTGATGGAGGTCTCCCTGGGCAACCTGGGTCACTTCAACCCGGATGAGATGGAAGCGACGGAGCTGGAGAAGCCGGAGGACGGGCGGCGGCTGGCGTGAGACAACTTGGGCGGCTGGCTGGAAAAAGGATGGTTGTGTGATGTTGTATCTCCTGGCCTTACTACTAAAGTAACAAGAAGCTACTAGGAGCAAGGGCATCGCTACTAGTAACAAAGGGCATTGCCACTAGTAGCATTCTTGCTACTAGTAGCATTCTTGCTACTAGTAACAAGATTGTGTTTAATGTGTTCAAATGAATTCAGCCCAGGGGAAGCTGGGACACCAACCACACGACAACACCTCAAGGGTCCTTCAGGGCCACCGATAAAAGAACGACCGCTGCGTCGAGCGACCAGAGCTGGCAGGGCGACCAGGGGCTGTTGTCATTGAAGACTGCGGACGTTTTGGCTTGATGTACTTCTCTTCGTCATGTCCATGGATTGCTCCAGATGTGATGGAATGGAGACGAAATAAGTCCTCGTTAAGCCACTATGAATGCTTCTTCACCTGTAGTTTGAAAGTTTGATGATCTCACATGTGTCTAATCGGGGGAGTCTTGAAGATGCCCTGATCGGGCTTTGCTTGACAGATGCTCATAGGGAGCTCGTTTTTGGAGAACCTCTTCCCTAGACCATGACTGCACATCTGAAAGTTGCGGAATCACAAGGACATGAGTAGGTAACCAAACTAAATGTAATGCCCATATTGAGGACTTCTTCTAGGGTTATATAAACTTCCAGAAGGTGTGCTGTGGGGGAAGTGAATTTCACTCTCCACTCCACACTACAAAACACTGCAAATAGCGTGGTTTTGTACATGTAAAGGTACTGGTGACTAGGCTAAACGCACGTTTTATTGTTTGCAGAAAACATGAACCGTTTGCATCTGAATTCTGAACACAAGAAAAACGTCAAAACCCAAAGCAAACAAACACACAAACAAAGAAACAAACAAGCAAGCAAGCAAACAAACAATCAAACAAACAAGCAAACAAACACACAAACACAAACAAACGAACGAACAAACAAACAATCAAACAAACAAACAAGCAAAGCAAAACAAACAATTCAAAAACAATCACAAAAACAATCAACATGTTCAGCAGGTCTTCCTGTCATGCAACCTGCTGAAGACAAACAACCATTGCTTATTTTGTTTAAACAATGTTTAGCAAGTCTTCCTGTCATGCAGGCGTGTGACCAGGAGTTTTCAACAATATCCAACTATGTTTTCTGTTTATTTGTTTATGTTGGGTTGGTTGTTCCAGAGATCTAGAGACATGACAGCTGTATATGAATGATCCTATACTAGTAATTCGACTTTCCAATATATAGATAGTTCTTTTGAGAAAGCATTCACCTTGAGCTTAAAGGTTTAGGCTAACCTATAGAAACACGATGATTATTTCAGTGTTCACCTATCTGGAGAAATCTACTTTCCCAGAGATCCAGAAGAAAGCTTTGGAAGTGAACGTGCTTTATATAGTACATAAAACTTTCAACATAGAAGTACTTAGTCCCAGAGATCTAGAGGAAAGCTTTTGAAATGACAGCTTGTATTTAAGACTTCTTTTATATAGAGTAACTATTCCCAGGGAGCTTTTGAATTGAAAGCTTTTGTATAGAGCAAGTTTTCCTGTCATGCAACCGACTGAAACAATATATGAAAATATAAATTGTTCCTAGTAGTAAGGCACTTGTTTCTATTAGTAAGGCACTTGTTCCCGGTAGCTTCTTGTTACTACTAGTAAGGCACTTGTTACTACTAGTAAGGCACGTGTTTCTATTAAACATGAAGGATCTCATATTTACGAACTTTTCCAGAGATATCTCTTGTTAGAGTCTGTTAGAGATCATTGACCTTGGGCTCCAAGGTATAGATTCAATATAGACTAACCTATAGAAACACACTGATGGTTGTTTAATGTTCACCCATCTCGACAAATCTACTGTCCCAGAGATCCAGAAGAAAGCTTTGAAAATGAACGCTTTTGTATAGAACTTTCTAAAATAGAAGTAATCATTCTCAGAGATCCATAGGAAGGCTGTTGAAATGACAAATTTTACATAAAGCGTTTTCACTATAACAGTTATCATTCTCAGAGATTACTTTAAATAACACGTTACTTGTCTAATTACTCAAAAACAATGTTTTTAACTAGTTCCCAGCACTCTCAGGGCAAGACAGCACTGTAAAACACCGGGTTTTGTCGCATTTGTTTTCTCAAATTCACACCAACACCTGCACTCAAAGATACACAAGACTCAGCATACTGTTCAAGCTGCCTTCTTACATACTATGTAATGTGTTTGCTGATCGATTCAACCATTGTTTGGGGCGTGTTTCCTTTGCTCGGTGCCACAAAAAACGTCCTTGCGGATGAATGGGTGAGAGTAGGTCTACATTTGTCTTGACGCTCGAGGACAACCTTTCAGGTTCGACGCCAGATCAACCAGCCACTTGGCATATTTGGTACATGCCCGTAATGGGAGAGAGGGTACTTGACAGCAAATTTTTCTGGATAAAAACCGTTAATTTGGGCAATGTATATAGTATATTATATATATATACATACACATGTGGTCAGACTTCATGCAGATATTCCAAAGGTGGAGAGGGTGCATCTTCAGTTACAGCGGTGCAGAGACAAACAAAGCGTACGGCAGGGAGGAAGTCAATTTTTTAAGCGCCACTTCCGGTAGGTGGTTCTATTTGGATCAGAAAACTTGCTTGAAATCAAGAGACCTGCTGGAAAGAGCCTGGAGCAGCCTCCAACCTACTAGCGATGGCCTCCAACCTGCTAGCGATAGCCATCGTTTCAATATATTTCAATCATTCTCCAGACTCCCTGGGAGTTTGTGTGGTCTGCTTGCAGGTGGGAATGCAAGAGACCAGCAGTAATTCTTCCTCGACAATGCCACAGGAGCCCAGGCCCGAGGTTTTGGAGGATTCACCGGAGCTAAAAGGCAGGATCCACCAGCTACAATCTTCAATCTTGTATCGAAGTAAAAGTTGGAAGCGGCGCTAGCTTATTCATTGAAAAGTAGAGGGGTTGGATCTTGTTCAGAACAACTGCATGTTGATTGCATGGTCAAAAACGTTGAATTGCATGGTCATGTCATGTTTCTCATGTCATGTTGCCTCGAGTCTCTCACTACACAAGACATGGTCGAAGGGTCTTTCATGCGAAGTGGTTCAGTTCGTCCAGCCTCTCAGCCTGACAGCGAACTGCCTTCCACTAAGACAATTCCATGGGTAGTTCCAGTCCCCAGCAGGGCGACTTCTGGAAGCCTACACAACCAGAAGTAAAAGGATGTGTCCACAAACAACCGCTTGTTATGCAAAGGATCTCATTTGCCTTGTTGGAACAGCCTATTTCTGGTTGAGTTCGGGCTTCCAGGTATACAATCAGTTGCCACCGATGTTGCACGACTTTTGACACACAAAGTGAGTTTTCGTAGCGAGCTTGCTCTTTTCACCCAGCTGAATCAGTGTCATTCTGAAGGAACAAGGCATTACACATACAAAAAGACCTCCACAGTAACCTTCCCAGTGGCCATCCGATCCAGATCCCGGAGAAAAACCTCCAGAAGTCTGTACAGCGTCACTGGTTTGAGTCCTGAAGTGTCGGTTCTGGGAATGGATGATCCCGCTCTCAGCGCCACACCCCGCAGAGCGCGGCGTTTTGGTTGGCTGCGTCCCCTGCGCCTCAGGGCGCTGCATGCCCTGGTCACGGCAACGGAGGAGGGGGTTGGGATGGGTGATGTCACGGGTCGCGGAAGAAGGAGGTGACATGTGTTGGAGGCCATCGCTTCTAGGTTGGAGGCCATGGATTTCAATCCATGTTTCGTCCCAAAACTGGCCCATCTGCCACCTAGTGACCGTCAACACCAAGTTGGAATCTTTAACGGGAGGTACAACGAGGGTCCATGGGGAGCTGCAATCTGTACAACTTTCAGCACTCATGGTCCCCCCTATATAAAGCCAACATCAACCAAAGCACTTCGGTGGTCAGAGGCTCCTTCATGTGGAACGCAAAGCCCGATTGGTGGCCACCCCAAGTGACTGAACCATCTTCAAACCACATCCTACCAGCCGAAATGCACCACGAAAGGCCCTTTTTTTCATTCGTAGTGTCCTCAGCGCCCCGTTCGTAGCGGTACGGCGCCCCGTTCGCAGCCTCCACACCATGCCGGGCGGGACGGTCCGCGGGCGAAGGAGACGGTGAGTGAAGAAGTGGAGGAACTCGAAGAGGAGCGGAGGGGAAGAACTCGTGTGTTCAGAGGTTCAGTGGTTTATAGCATGTTTTTTTCTTAAACATGGAATTCAATGGGAACATCATGGGAAAAAAAGAAGCGCCGTTTTGAGATGCTTCAGGAATAATAGATCCCCCACGGCATCCTACTAGCATGGAGTTTAGATGTGTTTACCGTTTGGGTGCTGGGAAATTGCTATAGTTTCTTCTCAGGTTGTTGGCCCCAGTGCTGATTACTATACAATTCGCACTATGGTCACGGACTACAGTTTGAGCGACGTGTTGTTCTCGTGAAAAGGGAGTCAACCTGTGCCAGTTGTCCTGGCGCCACAGCTCTTAGCCACTGGTCTTCCAGGTGTACAGAATTCAACGCGCAGCCTGGGTTTGGCCAAAAGGTCCATCAATACAAACACCCGGCTCGACCAGACTGACTGATCGGTTGAACCATGTTGAGGCAACAAAAAACGTTATCCCTCATTATTCCACCACGGTTCTCCGCAATTCCTTGCACTAGAAGCTACTAGTAGCAAGAACGCTATTAGGTGGAGGCCATCGCAAGTAGGTTGGAGGCCATCGCTACTAGTTGCAAGAAGCTAGTAGTAGCAAGGACGCTATTAAGTGGAGGATGATGCCTTCTCATAAACCCATCCGCGGCACGATGTCTTCATCGCAGATCAACCTCGACCTGCACGTGGCGCGGTTTTGAGGCGACGAGCAGTGGGTGGGTGGGTGGGTGAGCAGAGACTCTCCAGAGTATGGCACCGATTTTTCCATCACGAAATAGCTGGCAAACAAAAGCTTTGGCCTCCAACCTAGCGATGGCCTTCATCCTACAGAACCCAAGGCTTAGAGTCGCTTCCTGGGATACCTGGCCCCGAAGCAGCCCCGAGGCCCCCCAGACCTCCCGTCGACCTCCCGTCGACCAGACCAAATCGATCATCTCGCGTGGATGCGAACTACCCACACGCCCCTCGGCATTCCCGGTATCCCCCCCCATCTCCGTGGTACCAACCAGCAGAGGTTGAAGAAACCTATAGACTATCCTATCGATCCTATAGGTACTCCTGTCGGGTCCTATAAGGTCACTTAACCTCTGCAGGAATGTCGTCAAGTCCGGACGTCTCGCCTGTCACGTGTAGTGTGTCACGTGCCAAGGTTGGGCGACGTCACTGACGCGCCGATGCCATGGTGTAAGACCGTGGAGATCACGAAGAATCCATCGTGTTGATTAAGGTCTTCTGTCGAACGACAAAACCAGGTCAACCCTTTAAAAGATCGTCGAACGGAAGGCTAGGGCGCTAGTATGCGCTGGTCTTCTGTGCCACTTGTTGCGTGTCTGATGGATGAAAATGGCAGAACAGGTGTATGTCAGCCGCTGCTTGGAATATTTGTACCACCTGGAATATGTTTTCCCATGTGTGGTCCTGCCAAGCCCGTCGCAGGTTGCCGCGTGAGAAGCAAGCAAATGGCGGGAACCCGCTGCGGTTTCTCCGCGGCAGGGTGATGACTTGGCAGGTGGCGCGGTCCAATGAACTTCGCGCATCAATCTGTCATGTCGTCTGTAGTATGGCATACCGCCACGGTGTGCCTTGATGTCTGGGGTGTTCCGACTTTGGGTTCATGACCAAACATCCACTTTGCCAACACTCATCCAAATAGGCAGACTCTACTTCGACGAGATTAGAGTGAACATAGAATATGCCTGCTGCTTGAGGCAGCTCCTATTGATACATGAAGAGGAAGGCCGGCAAATGGGGCATCAGTCAATCCCGACAAAGTCCTTTCAACCCACATACATCAAGAACGGCTGAAAGAAGAAGGAAAGGTCCCATGTCGAAAGTTCACCACAAAGATCCGGAAAAACATAACAAACATTACAAGGGAAAGTTGTGGCACAAACTTTGGACAATGACGTCACATTGTCCAAGTTGGCACCAAAAAGATCACGCGAGGTTGGAGGCCATCGCTTCTAGGTTGGAGGGAATCTATATAGTAACATAGTAGGTTGGAGGCCATCGCCAGTAGTAGGTCAAAAGAAGGTTGCTTTTTAAATCTCTTCAATGATTGTTTTTTACTTTGAATGTATCCCACTCTCCTCAGACGTCGGACGAGACGTCGAACACCTTTTTTCGCAGACGAGCGAAGCGAGCGAAGGAAAGTGCACCGACTCGGCACCGGCCGATGGTCCACGGAAAAGGTCGTGGTTCCTTTCCGGATGATTTTGAGATCATTGGGAAAGCTTCACATCTGAGATCATTGTGTAAGCAGCATTTTTGTCAGCGATTGATGCATGAAACCATGCGCCTTAAGACTTGTTTTTGTCGGGATTGTCACACCAGGAAAGTATATAGTAATTACATTGTACTAAGCTTGTTCTAGAATGCCATTCTATCCAAAGCATTTTGAGCAGAGGTCGTCTACGAACAAGTGTCGACTACGGGACACGTCAGTGTCCTGGGAAAGGATCCGCGTTCTTTCTCTGCGTGGCACATGTCCTCGCCAGTGTCGATCAGTGTCGATGTTTTCGCAGAATGTCCAGATCCTCCCCTGTTTCAATCCAGATATGGCGCCACAATTGGATCATTTCATCGCAGGAAAAAACTGAATTGGAAGGGGATGGGGAGGTCTTTTTGCATCATTTTGCTCTCTTTAACAGGCTTCGGCTTCATCCCAACCTTTCAACTGGAGGAAACGAACAGGACAGGTCACCGTTAGACTTCGGCACACACAGCTTTGGGATGCCAAAGCCACCCACCAACGAGTCTTCAACCCTGCCGGAAAGGCACCTCGCGACTAGTAGCAAGGACGCTCTTAGGTTGGAGGCCATCGCTATTAGTTTGGAGGCCATCTAGTAGGTTGGAGGCCCTTACTACTAGTAAGAGTCTTCAACCCTTTTGCCGGTGAGGCACCAAAGTCATGGTCGCCGTCGGATACTATCCGTCGGATCACCTCAAGCACAGCAAGACCTTTCATCAATGTTCATATAGAGTGTATGTATAGCTTCTTTTTTTCGGACCAGGACGGAATAGCGGGAATAGAGGATGCAATGGTATATATGCAAAGATCATCCCATAGTTTCTTTTGCAGAATATAGCAAGGACCACCAGGTAGAACCGAAAGGAACACGTCGTTTTTGGGATTGAAGCTGCAGGAAGCGTCTTCTTTTTTTGCGTACTGCCTTCGAACGAAAGCGGTCAGAAGACGGAACATTACATTATTTTTTTAGATCTTCCCGAGCCTTCCGTGTTCGACCATCTTCAACATGATTCAACATGGTTGATCTGGTTTCGGTCTAAAACTGGTAAAGACTTACCTCGGTGAGCTCGGGTAGTGGCTCGGGTGTGCTTCGTCAGCTTTCGCTCCGGTCTCGGCGTTAAAAGCCCGGGATTTTGTACAGGCACAGCTTGGCGCGGCGCAGCATGTAAACAAGGCTGCGCATGACTAGAGAGTCTTGACTAGTCTGTTTCCATGCATCTCAAGGACGAAGCAATGTCTAGAGGTTTACCGGAAGTACATGTAGGAAGTAGGGGATCACGTCATGCTGGTGTATACTCTTTGCCGTTCAAGCATCCACCGAACTACGGAGTGAAGATCCAAAATCAAGAAACTGACAGTGTCATCAGGTGTCATTGGGTGTCTTCATGTTCGGTTGATCGGACTTGATGTTTCTTCGATTGCGCAACGAAATGCGGCTCCAGGTCAACTGCTCAAAGATGGGATCCAAAGTCCACTTCACTGGAGTTTTTGTATGCTTTCCTTCAAAAAAAGTACAGTGGTTTCAGAGGTTCGATGGCACCCCGTCCTTTTCAAACATGGGGGGTTCACTACTAAACCACCTCTCCATTGGGGTCTGTGCCATTGGTCCTCTCAATCCCCTATATATGAGACACATGTTGGGCTGGGCGTTCGATGTGGGGCCTGCGCACCGAGCCTTGAGTCCCACAAGAGTCGAGCATCTGAGATGCACCTGTGGCCCCGAAAAGAGCTGCAAGCGACTGAGATGCACTGGGCCACTGGCATAGGATGTGAGCTGTAACTACCTGGTAGGGCAGTTTTCTTCAATTCAAAGCCGCTGTGTATCTTCGATTAGGGGAAAAGGGGGTTACACTTTGTGAATGCATTTCTCTGGCCTGTTTCATGCTGGGTCCGGGTTCAAAGATCACTGCAGTTCGAGTCAGGGCATCCAATTTCCACACCTTGTCACATATGATCTTGTTGCTGGTGCTTCCATCCGGCCAAGAAAGCTCCTTTTGGAACCAGAGGGACATGGTTGTCGATCTTTTAAATTGCTTTACCAAGTTGGAAGGCTTCATTTCCTACCAGTGATTGTGGAGGAATTGGAGTGGCATCCTTGATTTCAGAATCGGAGTGGACGCATTTGCACTACTTCGTTTGGCCAATTATGCTTCCAAACTCGAAAACCCTCTGAAAGACATCTATCGTCTATCTGAAACAAGCAGAACCCTCGACCTAGGGGATTCTCCTTCACAGATATGAAACTACACATGTCTTGGGCCCAGTGTTTTTTCTAGGTGTTTAAACGGGAATCCACTTGGGCCAAGTAGACTTCCACTCATCGTTTCAACAAGGCCAGAGGTTAGACCTGTCCTGAAGACCTGTCCGTCCGATGTCCGGTGGAGTCGCGGCTCAGGTCATGCTATGAGGCGTTTGGTGGCAGGGGAGTGGGAGCAGGGGCTTCCTCCAACCATCCTCCAAACCATCATTCTTTTGAGTAATAGCAATGGCCTCCATCCTAAATGCGATGGCCTCCAACCTAAGAGCAATGGCCTCCATTGAAAAAATTGCATAGAGAATCGGAGGGTGGAGCAGCCATGAGTGGCCTTCAGTCCCACTCATTCTGCTTCAGTTGGAAGGTTTGGTTGCGCTTCGATTTGGAGATCCGACCTCTACGACCACGCGTACGAGAACAGATCATCATGGAGTTTGGTATAGTTTGGTGTATGATCAACCGCACACCTACTTGGATCCCTGTACTTATGAGGGATGTCAAAGTCTTCAACATGTTGGGTTTATTCGGGATGGAGATGGGGACTCAACAAACCTGTGTGGTTTCTTGCCAGAGCCAGAACTCCCTGAGATGTACAAAACGATATTTCCTGCCTCCTGTCACTAGGATTCTCACAACATCTTATGTGACATCGCTAGTAGGTTGGAGGTCATCGCTATTAGCATGGAGGCCATCGCTACTAGGTTGCATGCCTCCAACCGAATAGCGATGGCCTCCAACCTAGCCGCCTGGAGGAGACGTTTGTGGAGACGCAACTCCACGTTTTCAACGGATTCCTTGTTACTAGTAGCTTCTTGCTCCGTTCGTAAGGCCAGTTTCGCCCCGTTCGTAGCGTCCGACCGCTCCTGGTCCTAGTAGCTGGGCCGAAAACCTCGGGGACGGAGGGCACGCAGGTCGATGCTTTTCCTCGGGCGACCCCATCGGTGCGGAGCGAAGACCGGGGCATCGCTCGGATGGGAGGTTCGGAGAGCCAAAGCGAAGCGGTGCCAAACATTTAGCAGTCACAAGCGACAAACACACAGAATTAAGCTAAACTTGCGTTACATTGATTTGTTCGTGTAGATGCCCAGATATGTCCTGCGGTTTCAATCTACTTCTTTGAGAGCGGTTTGTCCAAAGAGTCTGCCAGGAAGCGCAGGAACAGCAGGCAGACGGAACTTGAAGCCACAGACCCAAACATCTAGGCAGGGGGACCGTGTTGCCTTCGAGCAAATCCAACCTTCGTTCTTTCTCAGTGCCGCTCAAGTTGTCCATCTTCCCGACGAGCCCTGCACACCGCACACCGTTTCTTGCCCAAGATGCCGCGCTCAGCGCGCTCGCTTTCGGCGCGAGACGAAAGCGAAGTGAATGGGCCCAGAGATCCGGGAATTCTGGGATGGAAAGCATGTGCTGGAGCTCGAGATCGATGAGAAGCACCTGAAAGGGATCCTGGAGACGCAGGCGCGAGGTGGTCGGCGATGAGAGCGGTGCGCGATGCGAGGTGACGAAGTGAAGTTCGCAGGAGGACAAGTCCTATACTAGCGATGGCCTCCAACCCAATAGCGACGGCCTCCGACCTAGAAGTAATTGCCTCCAACCTAATGGTGATGGCAACCAACCTAATCAAGCCGGAAGACATAGCAATCAATTTGTCAAGGGACCTTGGAAGCTCAATGTTCCACTCATGTAGCATTTTCCTTATGGAAGTGCTTCTCTTGAGGGTCAATTGCATATCATCCGGGGTTCCTTCTCGCGCTTGAGGCAGTTCAGATCTGCAGCTACCTGACCTCCTGTCATGTGAGAGCCCTCCTGCGTGCCTTACGCTTGGACGCCACTTCGATCCATCAAATATGGTGGGAAATGCTTGCGAACCTCCGTCAACGAGCCAAGGTGTCGCGCATCGAGCACCTTCAGGATCTGGGGATCGCTAAAAACGGCTAAGAATCCCGAGCATGCCGGAAAGCAGTTCGGTGCTGGATTGTTTTGCCCCCCGCATCAAAAAGATCGATCACCGCGAAAGGAGATCAAAACGAGTTGCAGAAACTTTGAACTCATGCCCAAATGTGAAGGTTCATGTCCACTTGGTGCAAACAATTGGACATCAATCCACCAAACGCTCG